GTAAAATACGAAATGATAGATAATAGAGTGTATTTGGAGATGCAGCATGGTATCAGTCTGCCTGGGTTCAAATCCCAATTCCACCACCCTGTGACCTTCAACAAGATATTGTGACATCTCTAAACCTCAGAACTTTTAATTTATAATATTACACTAATTATCACAATTAATAGAGCTGTTGTAAAGATGAAGTGAGATATTGTAAGGAAAATCCTTAAATTATCACAAGAACAGATAATTTGGTACACATGCAATAATTATGGTATCTCTGTGAGCCAAGAAGTTGCATGTACTTAGATGGGTTATTTCAAATTCCAATTGAAACAAACAGACAACAAAAACAAAAACCTATGTACTCAGATATCACATATCTTTAAAACTTGTTCCTTACTATATTATTTAGGAGATAGAGTGCCAAATAATTTTTTTTCGTTTGGTTTTTTTTTCTGGGGTGGGTGGGGTTTGAGACGGAGTCTTGCTCTGTTGCCCAGACTAGAGTGCAGTGGCCTGATCTCGGCTCACTGCAATCTCTGCCTCCCGAGTTCAAGTGGTTCTCCTGCCTCAGCCTCCCAAACAGCTGGGATAACAGGCGGACGCCACCACATGCAGCTACTTTTTGTATTTTATTTTATTTTATTTTTTCAGTAGAGACAGGGTTTCACCATGTTGGCCAGGCTGGCCTCAAACTCCTGACCTCAGGTGATCCACCCGCCTTAGCCCCCCAAGGTGCTAGGATTACAGGTGTGAGCCACCGTGCCTGGCTCGCTTGTTTTTTCAACTCTTGTTTATTAAAGTCGTTTAGGCATTGGGAATGTAATGGAGAGTTGTATTCTCTGTCCTCCAAGGACTAAGGAATATAAAAAGACAGACAACTACAGCAAAGCATGGTAAGTGTCATATGATTGGGGAAATTCTCTGAGAACACATTCTCTGGAACAGCTAACTTTGGCTCACAGTGGATCAAGGAAGGTGTTCCTGAAGGAAGTCACGTTGGACCTGTTTCTCAAAGAACGAGGGGAGACAGCCAGTGAAGGGACAGAGGTGGCGAGTTCCTGAGTATGCAGACGGGGCTGGAGAAGAGAGCAAGTGTACCTCATGAAAGGAAAGTACATCTTTGAGAATGGTTGCAACAGAGAATGTAATACAAACAAGGGTTGAGAGAAGAAGCTGAGAAATGAGCAGAAGACTTGGTGAACCTGAGGAAGAGACTACACTTTAATTATTGGTGGTTAGGAATTGTCAGCAAATTTTAATCAAACAGTGACATGACTGGGCCTTCTTTTTGAGGGATTATGCTCCCTGCAGCAGAGAAAATGGAGACAGGGATACTAGTCAGGAGGATGCTGGAGAGAGAAACCTGTGGGAAGGGCACAGTGGTTAGATCGTAAAGGGTAGAATTGTTGGGATGCAGAGATTGATTTCATGGGATGAGAGTGAGGAAGACGAAGGAACAGGCAACTCCTCGGTTTTTGCTTTGGGAGATGGGGTGGAGAGTGACACCATTCACTGAGTTGATTACACTAGAGGGAGAGGAGCTGGGGAAGAGGGAGGTGAAAGTTGCTAGGTCAGTTATTTTCTTTGAGTCTGAAACACTTGGAAGAAATCCAAGTAGACATGCTTACAAGGCAGATAATTATAAGGGCCTTGATAAGGATATTTTTACTGAGCCCAAACACACGCATTTTATGGGCCCCCTGCAGGACCCTGAGCTTGGAAGGTGCAGACAGCAAGCAGGCATGGCCCAGAAGAAGGACCAGGGCAACTGCTCTTTAGGAAACTGGTCAGATCATCAGAAAACAGCCTGATGGTAAAACTGTGGCTCTATTACTTGGACTTAGGGTGCAGCATGCAGATATATCTGCAGCATGAAGCTCCTCCAGAATGAGACAACCTGAATCTACAAGCCAAGGACTTGTTCCAACCAACAAACCAATCTTCCACGTGAAGTTCTGTGGCTTTGCCTTTTGCAAACCCCTGCCTTGCCTTGGCCAGGCAGTCTTCACCAGGGCTGCTCCTTTTTGTATATTATGAATAAATTCCCATGTTTAAAGTCAATTGTCTCTGTAGCTTAACTCTGCAGCAGATCTTTGCAGCTTGACATTCATTATGCCTGAGTCCTTTTTAAAAAAAATTTGTCTAGAGCCCCCCCCAGAAAAGAGGTCTGAACTACAAATAATAGATTCAAGAGTCCTATGGGCTGCTGCATAGGAAATAAAACAGAAAAATGACATGGGTTGTGTCACTGTTAGAGAGTAATGATGTACATAACCATATGAATGGTTCTGAGAAATTCCACTCAAGAAAAAACTCATTCAACTTTATTGAACACACCATCTCTAAATTGCTTGACCCCGAAAGGTTTTTTCTCCTAAGTAACCTCATTAAATCCCATAGAACTAGAGTTTTGAGGCCAGGCACTGTGGCTTATGCCTATAATCCCAGCACTTTGAGAGGTCAAGGCGGGTGGATCACCTGAGGTCAAGAGTTTAAGACCAGCCTGGCCAATATGTCAAAACCCCGTCTCTACTAAAAATACAAATTAGCTGGGCATGGTGGTGGGTGCCTGTAATCCCAGTGACTCAGGAGGCTGAGGCAGAGAGAATTGCTTAAAACCCAGAAAGTGGAGGTTGCAATGAGCTGAGATTGCACCACTGCACTCCAGCCTCAGCAATAGAGCGAGAGACTGTCTCAAAAATAAAAAAAAAACTAGAGTTTTGTAGAACATGCTTTGATAAATGATAGCTTAGGCATTTTGCAAGAAGTAAGTTTATTGATATTCATATTTGTATAAATATTTATATTTTATAACAAAAATAATATCAACCAGATTATATGATTTTTCTGTTATTTCTTCATTGAAGTAGCTTCACTACTAAATGCTTTGTAAAGCAAAGTACTACCTTCCAGATCACCAGAGGAGCTGCAATTTAGGCATAATATCCATGAGGAACTAACCAGTCTCTAGAGAATATGTCTTTACATCTGAAGGATAGGCTGGGCACAGCGGCTCATGCCTGTAACCCCAGGACTTTGGGAGGCTTAGGCAGGCAGATCGCTTGAGCTCAGGAGTTTGAGACCAGCCTGGGCGATATGGTGAAACCCCACATCTACCAAAAATACAACAAAATTAGCCAGATGTGGTGATGCATGCCTGTAATCCCAACTACTCAGGAGGCTGAGGCAGGAGGATTGCTTGATGCCAGGAGATGGAGGTTGCAGTGAGCCGAGATCGCACCATTGCACTCCAGCCTGAGCAACAGAGCCAGACTTCGTCTCAAAAAAAAAAAAAAACTGAAGGATGTCAGACACATTGAAAACTTGATAAAATTTATATACCATCTCCCTAGGTGGAACAGTGCATATTTTTTCACCTAACCCTAAAATCAAGAGATCCACAGGCCCTACATCACAGGTAAAGAGCTCCTGCTTTCTAAGACACTAAAACAATTTAAACCGAATCAATAATCGCCAAAATAACAGTGCCCCTGAAATCAAAGGTCCTTTGCACTTGGAGTATGTGTGAAGCGCATCTTTTGGTCAGTAACCTAAGCCAATCTCCAATACCAATTGTCTTCCGGGTTCCAGGTTTATCTGTGGCTCTGCAGCTGGCAGAGGCTTTCCAATCAAATTCTATTACTTGCCACATTGTTTGGGGCTGCTTTTTAGTGAATCATTGTAGATTTTCTTCTGAAATTCACGCTTTCAGTTATCCTATTTGAACTCCCTGTCACAGAGGCTAAGTAGTGAGGGGCTCTGAAGAGACGATATATTTATGGTAGAAAGAACACTAAACTGAGAGATTGATGATAGGACATTTTCTCCCACGTTCATCATTAACTAGCTGTGTAATCATGGAAAAGATGATCTATTTCTTCAGGTCTCTCAATTACGAAATGAGTACAATTATTCCTACCCTTCCTGTCTCACAACATTGCTGTGACAAACCGATAAACTAAAGCCCATGAAAACACTTTGAAAATTCGGAGGTGACATATAAATGTAAGAAAGGATGATGATGATGGCAGACATATCTCTAATTATTACGAATGGGACTCGGTAAACACTGGGACTCAGTAAATACTTGTTCATAATGGTTATTGGTTATGATTTGGTTGTGAGTCATCACCACTCAGACAATGAGTTGTATGTGAAGACAGCTTGAGTTGAAATTTCCCATGGAAGGTATGTGGCAGTGTGTCAGATTCACTACCTTTATGTGTAGACGATCTACACTACTATTATGGATTCACCCATCTATTTTATAGCATTGCCACTAGGTTGTTGCTATTTAATGTGGTGCTAGAACCCACAGTTGAGCTGTTTCCCACAACTCTAGCTTTGTGAATTAAAGTGAGATCGCACCACTGCACTCCAGCCTGGGTGACAGAGTAAGACTCCATCTCAAAAAAAAAAAAAAAAAAGAAAGAAAGAAAGTAGAAGATATAAACAATTCTATCTCTATTTCTGCACTTCAGAGAGCTATTTAAGGCCAACATTAAATCTATTTTAAAACCTTCTTGAAATAAAACTTTTACATAAAGGCGAGATGTTAGTGGCACATCATTTATGAGGTACATTAAGCAGCCTAACGATCATAACAAATTTTTTAAACCTGACAACTTTTTTTTTCTGTAGGCTCCTTGTGGTATTTCACAAAAGCCTAACAATTTTTTATTATTATTATTTTAATTTGAAACAGAGTCTCACTCCGTCACCCAGTCTGGAGTGCAGTGGAGCGATCTGGGCTCACTGCAGCCTCCATGTCCTGGGTTCAAGCGATCCTCCTGCCTCAGCCTCCCAAATAGCTGGGACTACAGGCATGCGCCACCATGCCCGGCTAATTTTTGTATTTTTTGTAGAGACAGGGTTTTGCCATGTTGGCCAGACTGGTCTCGAACTCCTGACCTCAAGCGATCTGTCTGCCTCGGCCTCCCAAAATGCTGGGATTACAGGCCTAAAAACTTTTTAAAAACAATTACATGGTAAAGAATTCAGGGACCGGGGCCGGATAATGGCGGGCGCTGCAGAAGATGCGCGAGCTCTTTTCTGGGCTGGAGTCTGCGCGACCCTGGAGGCCTGGCCGGCCTTGCAGATCGCTGTGGAGAATGGCTTCGGGGGTGTGCACAGCCAGGAGAAGGCCAAGTGGCTGGGGGGTGCAGTGGAGGATTACTTCATGCGCAATGCTGACTTGGAGCTAGATGAGGTGGAAGACTTCCCTGGAGAGCTGTTGACCAACGAGTTTGATACAATTGTGGAAGATGGGAGTCTGCCCCAGGTGAGCCAGCAACTGCAGACCATGTTCCACCACTTCCAGAGGGGCGACGGGGCTGCTCTGAGGGAGATGGCCTCTCGCATCACTCAAAGAAAATGCAAGGTCACAGCCACTGCACTTAAAACAGCTAGAGAGACTGATGAGGATGAAGATGATGTGGACAGTGTGGAAGACATGGAGGTCACAGCTCCGAATGATGGGGCTGCCACAGATGGGGTCTGCTCCCAGCCTGAACCCTCTGATCCAGACGCTCAGACTATTAAGGAAGAGGATATAGTAGAAGATGGCTGGACCACTGTCTGGAGAAAAAAATGAGTGGGGATGGTTGGAAATGGCTTTGGGCCCTTATTTGCTAGTTCTGAGAGTTGTCTGTAGGGTTGTTTTTTGTTGTTGTTGTTTTTGTTTGTTTGTTTGTTTGTTTTTGAGGATTGCAGACCTGTGGACTGGTTACCCCATCTCCACCCTCTCCCCTGTTCCCGTGTCTGGCTCCCTCCAGGGCAAGGAAAACCTAGGGTCCTTGGTCTTGGGGGTGGGGGGACCTTGTCCAGCACATTCCCTTGGGCCTTTAGTTAACATCTGAGTGACCAAGCCGGGTTCCCCGGTACAGTGTCTTTTGGGTGCAGTCATTGTGAGGAAGGGGATGAGTGAGTGTGGGTGTGGCTGGAGGAGGAGCTAGATGCCAGTGGGCAGGTGGATTTGCGGAGGAGAGGACCAGCAGCAGCAGCAGTACTCAGTGATAAGGGGCTGGCTGGGTCAGGAATGGTGAGATGAACGTGCAAGTGGAAGAGAGAATAGTTGAAGATGTGAACGAAAGTAGCTCTGGAGCCTTTCCCTTACCCCACCCCCCACACACGCAACAGCTCTGTACCCCTGTCCAGAACTTGGAACCTCCCAGGAATGCTGCCTTCCTGCAGCCCAGCCTCCAGCCCTGGGTTCCCTCAGGAATTCGAAGACCTTGGCTAGGCGGTGAGCTTGGAAGAGCTGGGCATTGTTTTCTGTCTCCTGTAACCTCTTTCCTTACTCCTTATCCCATCTCATTTGAGTTCAGGGGTGAGGCTTAAGATCTTAATAAATAATATCTTACAGATTAAAAAACAAATTCAAACAGAGAAGACCACATATACAGGTGGAAATTTGGGACTGTGACTAGATTCAGTCAATCACTTGTTCTTTTCACTAATATTTATCATCTAAAATTTATTTATAAATACCTACTGTATAGATGGTGGCTAAAAAAAGCAAACAAAATATACACGGTTTCTACCTGTATGGCACTTACAATCAAATGGGAGAGAAAATCCAAAGAAAGCAAATGTGTATGTAGTTACACCTCGTGATGGGTTCAATGAAAGGTGTACTATGAAAAAAGTAAGAGGTGAAGGGGCCTATTTTGATTGGCTTATCAGAGAAGATCTATCTGAGGACATGACATTTAAGCTCAGAACTGAAGAGAAGTCTAAGCCAAGGAAGAGTGGCTGCAAAACCCTAAAGGAATGAAGGAGATTAGCATGTTTGAGGAGTTATAGCAAGACTTGCACTAAATTCTAGTGAGGGCAGAGATCACTAGAGCAGGTTGGTCAAATATTGACGAGACTGGTAAAATGCTGAACTTCAACCTAAGTGCAAAGAAAAGCTTTTGACAGATTTTGTGTAGGAGAATGAATGGATCAGATTCAGAAAACAGAAGGATCAGTTGAGCGGCTACTGTAGTAGGCGAAACAAAAAGTGCCTGTCTGTTTAGACTATGGCAGTGGCAGTAGAGAAGAGAAGTGGACACTTGAAAAGTATTTAGAAGGTAGAATGGAATGGATTTGGTGTTGGATTAGAAATTGGGGGTGCGACAGTGGGAAAAATCAGAGATGGCCCTGTAGATCCCAGAATATGCCACTCCAAAATAGGAAAGATTGTTGAGCTTCAAACAATTAAAAAGAAATAGATACAGAAAAGCTATCTCTATTTGCCTAAATGCAAGACATAGATTTATGAAAACAATAGGTACCCCCTCTCTACCAGGAATCACAAAAGTTAACCACTGAAGACAACTTTAGATCCTTATGGCCTTGCAATGGCTGCGGAGGTATCTACATTAACAAGCTTTATTTTTTATTTTTATTTATGTATTTATTTATTATTTTTTGAGACAGAGTCTTGCTCTGTTGCCCAGGCTGGAGTGCAGTGGTGCAATCTTGGCTCACGGAAAGCTCCACCTCCTGGGTTCACGCCATTCTCCTGCCTCAGCCTCCTAAGTAGCTGGGACTACAGGCGCCCACCACCACACCCAGCTAATTTTTTTGTATTTTTAGTAGAGATGGGGTTTCACCGTGTTAGCCAGGATGGTCTCCATCTCCTGACCTTGTGATCTACCTGCCTCGGCCTCCCAAAGTGCTGGGATTACAGGCGTGAGCCACCATGCCCAGCCAACAAGCTTTATTAACTAGCATTTAGCTGCCATTTATTTGCCTTCCCCCAACTTGCTGCCCATAGAAACTCAAAGTCCTTTTCCTCTGTCTTGTCACTTCTCTAAAAATTTACTGTTCTTTATTAAAGATACTACATAAGCTGGCATTTAAAGCCACCTCTTTGAGAGCTACTAATTCCCCAGGTTTCTCCCATGTATATACAAATGTGCATGCTAATCCTTTTCTATTTGTTATTCTTTCCTTCCTTCCTTCCTTCCTTCCTTCCTTTCTTCCTTCCTTCCTTCCTTGCTTCCTTCCTTCCTTCCTTCCTTCCTTCCTTCCTTCCTTCCTTCCTTCCTTTCCTTCCTTTCCTTTCTTTCTTTCCTTTCCTTCCTTTCCTTCCTTCCTTCCTTTCTTCTCTCTTTCTCTCTTTCTTTCTTTCTTTTTTTGAGACAGAGTCTTGCTGTGTTGTCCAGGCTGGTCTCAAACTCCTGGCTTCAAGCAATCCTCCCACCTCAGCCTTCCAAAGTGCAGAGATTACAAGTGTGAGCCACCATTGCTGGACTTCTATTTGTTTTTCTCTTGTTAATCTGCCTTTTCTTACAGGGGTCTATTATAACTAAGAATATATGAGGGTTGAAGAAAAAAATATTTTTCCCCCTACAACCCCTCATTGTCTGGCTCAAGCAGGTAAATGAGTGGGAACTATGTATCAGGCCCCACACAAGGTCAATGATGACTCACCACGCTCCCGAGCATCATCTTCTGCCTTGGGCTGTGCAAGTGGATGCACTACTTTCAGTTCACCAGGTGGTACAAATGATGGATGGAGGTTAATTCTAACCATATCCTTTCCAGTGTGTTTGTTGGCTATCCAAATTGTCCTCGTTTTCCATGTTGAATAGAAGACATAGTCACCAAAAAGGGACATTGCAAACAAATTGTGCCTAAAAAGCAACCACAAAAGAAAAAAGAACAATGGAACATTTGTTCCTTGGCTCATTAGAGTTTTACTTCATTTCAATTTATTGTCTAAGTTTTAACTACCTACCTTTTCCATTGTTTCTCATTTAGGTTTAGAAAAGTATATTAAGTTTAAAATTTTATTTATGTCATCATACTCTGAGCTAATAAGATATAATTTCTAGCTCCAGACCCATTATCTCATTAATCCTTTAGTCATCCAATAAGTGTGATGAAAATGGGAAAGAACATAGGAACAGGATAAGAATGGGTTTCTAGTGACATCAATTTCACATGACTAATTTCTGCCTTTTGCCACAAAGCTGGAAAGTCAGTTGCTGGCATGATAGCAAACCAATGAAATATAAAAATATATATAACATAATAATTCCAAAAAGAATAACTATGATCAACATGTGAGAACTTATTACGTGCCAAATACTCTGTTAATTATTTTTGTTTGTATTCATTTACTTTCCCTTCACAATAATCCCAAGAGAGAGATGCTATGATTATCCTCACATTAAAGGAAACTGAGGATAAGAGAAGTTATAGAACCTACTCAAAGTCACTCATCTAACAGATGAGTTCAATCTGGAGCTTGAACTCAAGTCTTTTGGATTCAAAATCTATGGCCTAAACTACTATACCAGTTCTGTCGACAAAAGTAAAATTAATTTATCTTGTGGACTTCAAATGACAACTGTTTTATTTTATACCAAGAGTAAAACTTACTGTGTTGGATGTTTACTAACACGGACAGAACCTCCATCATAATCACAGGAGCAAATAAGAGAATTGCTTCCTTCTCTGCTGTACTGAATCCAAAACAGCCGCTTATCAAGCACATCCAATGACATAGCTGTTATTTTCTCTGATGTCTCTAACAGAGACTTCACTTCCACACCATCAAGATCTGCTCTGTAAAGGCTGCCAGCCACCTCTGAAGACCAAAATATAAACCTGAGGGAAAACACATTACATAGACCCAAAAATGAATGTATAGTGCCTTGAATGGCCAACTCTCTCAATGTTTCAGCAGCTCCCACACAGGGCAAGTTTGACTTTTTTGAATGAAAATGTATTCAACAAGTAAACACTGCCCTATTATAGACATTACAAGCAATTTCAAGTTAGAAGGGGAATTATGCCTCTAGAGCAGAAAACCATGATAGTTAGGAATATTTATGAGGGGATCCTGTCTCAGTTGAAATGCAGGCAATTGTCCTATAGAAAATGGTGCCTGTGTGCTACAAAGAGAGCTTTAGTCTCAGTGAGAGGATCCCTTTGAATTTAAAATGTTATAATTCTATCAATCTTCACTAGATTTGTAAATATATTTCAATGTCTGAGTACAGCAGAATTTACCTTTCTACTGGATCAACTGCTATATTTGCAGGATATTTTAAAGCACTTAAAAGAACGTGGGAATTATTTCCTTTCATATCTGTTACTGTAATGATTCCTTCCTGTTGATTTGACCAAATAACTTCTTCATTTATCCAATTTATTGCCATTCCAGAAACATTTTTCTCTATATTACATACTCTCTGCAAAATCAAATTTTAAAATTGTTATTAATATTTCCCCATTCACAACAAAATTATTTTAATTGTTATATATAAAAAGTCTATTCTTTTAAGAACTTGTCATCTTTATGCATTTCCAAAATTGTTTAAATAATAAAGTAGTCACAGATATGGTGTCTTTGTTTTGATGCAGCATTATTAAACCTCCTCTGACCCCTAAGTAAATATTTCTGGAAATAGTATTTATATCATAGCTTTGAAACTAAAAATTATCCTACACACTATTTAAACTAGGCAGCCAACCATCATGTATTAATCATTTCAACTACAGTAATGGTGAAATTTTGCTGCAACCGTAAAGACAGCTTATTCAATTCCATTTGCTAATGGAACTTTCCAGATCTTCAACTGAACTCAATTCCAAGCTTTGCAAGATTTCCTTGGAGTTTGAGCTTACAGACATGAACTTGATGAATTTCTCATTATGGCCTTTATTCTTCTGGCCCTCTTCCTCCAATAGGCCTCTTCCTTTCCACAGTCCTTCATGCCCTGACACTGTGACCAGAGTAGCAGGGTGTCTTTTTATGCGCCTTGGGCTGTATTCCCAGCTATTTCATGATAAAAATGCCCAACCAAAACTTTTCATCTTTTAATTTCAGCCAAGGGCAGGTAACCTGGTCTTCTTGGGGAATGGAGGTTGCAAGGTGGGCAGAAGCCCCAATATGAACTGTTGAAGATTTTCATGGTGTAAATATTCCACCATGGCTGACATCCAGCTACCCAGGTGACATCATTGAAATCAGAGTTGGGCTGAAATTGCATAATCTCATGAGCCTGTGCTATTTCTACATCTCATATAAATAAACCTAGCCAACTTATTTTACCATTGAAAATAATGGCCAAAACTGCAATTACCTTTGCACCAACCTAATACATTCATAAATTAGCTCACCCAGGCAAATTGTTTGCATTTTAACAATGTCCTTTATAAGCAATGTTTTAACCCAAAGGAAGGAATATAGGGATGGAATTTTAGGCCTCAGGCTAATCCTTTCCTAATGGCTTGACATAAATTCACAACTATTTTAAGTTTTTCCATGTTCTTGATAGGAAACCCTTCAGATTCTTAGACTCAAGAGTTTGAAACTATACTACCACATGTCTGGAGGATAATGGGTAGCCATCCTTGTTAAAAGTGAGATTA